TGGGGGAACCGCATGCGGGCTGTGCCGGTGGAGCTCCCTATGGGGCCACCGCTTCGGTGGACTGGTCCCCATGGGGCTACGAGCGCTGCCCTGGGTGGGGGAACCGCATGGGGGGGCTGTGCCACTGGGACCTTCGGTGGAGCTCCCTATGGGGCTACGAAGCGCTGCCCTGGGTGGGGGAACCGCATGCGGGCTGTGCCACTGGGACCTTCGGTGGAGCTCCCTATGGGGCTACGAAACGCTGCCCTGGGTGGGGGAACCGCATGCGGGCTGTGCCACAGGGACCTTCGGTGGAGCTCCCTATGGGGCTACGAAACGCTGCCCTGGGTGGAGGAACCGCATGCGGGCTGTGCCACTGGGACCTTCGGTGGAGCTCCCTATGGGGCTACGAAGCGTGTGAGGGGTGTGCCGAGAGCAGAGGCAAGGAGGGGGAGGAGGGAGGAGGGCGAGGAGGGGGAGGAGGAGGAGAGGAGGTGGGACGCGGGGCGCTGTCTCTTCAAAACGAGGACCCAACACCACAGGATGGTTGGGAAAACACGATTTTGCAGAAAATGCCGAAACCCGGAAAACGATTGGAAAACATATTATTTTCCAGTGGGAAATGGAGTAGATCAGGAGGCCCAAGCGGAAGCAGCCCAAATGGGCGGATGAGTCGTGCTTTACCTCTTGGATTCGGCCTGCGGGCTGGGGTCGCAACAACAAAAAAACATGATTTTGCAGAAAAGGCCGGAACCCCGAAAACTAATGGAAAACATATTGGTTTTCCAATAAGAAATGGGGTAGATCAGGCGGCCCAAGCAGAAGCAGCCCAAACGTGCGGGTCCTTTTCAAAAATGTGCCCGTTTGGGGGTGACAGCAGTATCTCCCCCCAAGGGCTCCCCCCTTGAAAGAGGGGGGGGCGGGTCTCCCCTCGGCACGTCCCCCCCTCCTGAAAGGGGGCCAGCGCCGCACCGGGGGCCTCTCCGGGCGCCACCCCAGAGAGCGAGCGGCCAGACCGAGACACTGGCCGGTGGTGAGGCGAGAACTAAGGAGTGGCCGGCATTCGGGCGAGAGCGCATGTAAGCGTCGTAACCGCCGTCGTCGTCGTCGTCGTCGTCGTCGTCGTCGTCGTCGTGGTCGTGGTTCTGATCGTAGTCTTGATTGAGGAAGTTCTGGGCGGAAACGCAATTTGGAAGTCGAACCCGAAGGTTTCGAATTCTGTTTTGGAGGATGTCCTGGGCGGGAGCGCCATTTCGAGTTCGAACGGAACACATACCGAACCTCATTTTGCAGGACGTCCTGTGCGGGAGAAAAATTTCGAAATCGAGGCAGAAAGGTGTCGATTTCTATGTTTGAGGAACTCCTGCGCGGGAGCGCCAAGGCGAAATCGAAGAAGAAAGGTCTCGATTTCTATTTTTGCGCAAGTCCTAGGCGGGAGCGCCAGTTCGAAATCGAGTCCGCAAGTTTCGAAATCGTTCGGAATCGCTTTGTCGAGGAAGTATCAAGCGAAACTGCCGTTTCGAAATGGCCACACCGTTTGGCATTTAAAATATTAAACAGCCCTGACCCGAAAACTCGAAAATGCAGCTTCCGCTTAGGACTTCCTCCCCAAAGCGAGCTCGACTGGGTTTCGAAACCCTCGGCCTCGATTTCGACATGTGGCTTTCGCCGAGGACTTCCTCCACAAAACGAGCTCGACTGGATTTCGAAACCCGCGGGCTCGATTTCGAAAGGGCGGTGCCGCCCCGAGACTGGAGCGAAAAATGCTTCAACCGAACATTGTACTGGGGCCCCGCGGCCTAACGGGCTCACTGCCAACGTTGTACTCGGGCCCCGTCGCCTAACCGGAGGCGTTGCATTTTGGCCGAACTTTCGTAGCGGCGAAGTAGTAGCAGGCCTCGAACTGGTAGTCGTGGTAAAATCGTAACCGCAGAAGTAGTAGTAGTGGAAGTCGTACTCGTGGTAGAAGTAGCCGCCGCGGTAGTAGTAGAAGTACTAGAAATAGTAGCTAGTAGTAAAGCTAGTCGCAGTAGCTGTAATAGAAAATAGGATACTCGAATTTCTAAAAGTAGCCGTAGTGGTAAAACATGTAGTGGTAGCCGAGGTCGTAGTCGTAGTGGTATTTGTATTAGGAGTAGTAGTAGTAGCAATAGTAGTAGTAGTCGTCGTAATAATAGTAGGTAGGAGTAGTACGGGTACTACTAGTAATAACCGTGATAACAATTGTAGTTGTAGTTGTGGTAGTCGTAATTGTAGTTGTCGTAGTCAAGGTCGTAGTAGTACTGCTACTGACAACAGTCACACTAGTTGTGGAAATGGTAGTAAGGTGGTAAGAATGGTAGTCGTGATAATAACCGTAGGAGTCGTCGTAATAAGAATGGTAGTAGTAATCGAAATATTAGGCACTATAGTTACAGTAGTAGTATGTAAGGTAGTGGTAGTAGTCGCAAGACGCGTGATAGTAAAAGTACTAGGAATTAGCCGTAGTAGTGGTAACAGGATGACACTAGGAGTAGCAATCGTAGCAGGAGCAATATTAAAACCAGCAGCGGTAGTAGTAATAGTAGTAGTCGTACTAGTAGTAATAATAATAGTAGCAGCTGTAGTAGTAATAGTAGTAGTAGTAGTAGTAGTAGTCGTAGTAGTAGTAGTAGTCGTAGTAGTAGTAGTAGTAGTAGTAGTAGTAGTAGTAGTAGTGGTAGAAGTAATAGTACTAGTAGTAGCCGTAGTAGCATTGGTCGTACCAGTACTAGCGGTCGTAACAATAGGAAGAGTAGGCCGAAGCCGCAGCAAGAGTAACAATGGCAATGCTAGAAATAATGGAAGTGGTAACAATAGCCGTGCTGATGATCAAAATAAATGTTACTGGTAGTCGTAGTAGCCGTAGTAGTAGTAATCGAAAAAGCCGTAGACGTGGTAGTAGTAGCACAGTAGAAATAGTCGTAGTAGCAGGAGCTGCTGTTGTGAACGTGGCAGCAGTAGTTGTAGTTGTAGTTCTAGTAGTAGTAGTACTAGCCGTAGGGGTAAAGTGATCGCAGTTATCGTAGCAGCCGTTTGTAGTGTGCAGCTCGTGACCAATCGATGGTGGTTCGTTGTCAGGTGCAAGCTAGTATTATTAATGATAGTCTGTGTAATAAAAGCAGCGCCAATAATATCACACATAGCTGCAGTAGTAGTAGCCGTAGTAGTAGTAGTAGTAGTAGTAGTAATACAAGAAGTAGTAGTAGTAGTAGTAGTAGTAGTAGTAGTAGTAGTAGTAGTAGTAGTAGTAGTAGTAGTAGTGGTGGCAGTGGTAGTGGAGGTAGGATTGGTAGTCGCAGAAGTAGTGTTAGTGGTGGTAGTGGTCGTAGAAGTAGTAGTATTAGTAGTAGTCGTAGTAGTAGTAGTAGTAGTAGTAGTAGTAGTAGTAGTAGCAGCAAAAGTAGTAGCAGTAGTAGCTGTTGTTCGTGATTATAGCATTAATAGGGGTGGGCGGGTGAGAGAGGAGAACGGGGAGAAGACAGGAGGGTGGCGCCAGATTGGTGGCGCCAGATTTGGTGTACAAAAATTTGTAAATGTGAATAACTAATGTTTCTTGAGTTTTTGTCAAATGCTCATGGTGGCTGTTCCCTGTGATAATAACCCCTGGGGGGGGGGAAATGGGGGGGCGGGCCCGGGGGAGGAAGGGAGGAAGATGTGAGACGGAGAGGACGTGAACAGTATCGGGTAGCAGTAGTATTCTGAATAGTGGGTCGTAATAGTAATGGTCGGATGTCTCACAGCAGTAGCAGTAGTAGCAGTCGCTTGTATTACATAACATGTCGCATCTAAAAAATAAGGACTATTAGCGTGTATGTGTGGAAATAGCAAAAAGAAAAACATTGGTAACACTGGTCATGGTGTATAACAGGATTACGAGTAGTGGTAGTAGTAGTAGTAGTACTACTACTACTACTACTAGTAGTAGTAGTAGTAGTAGTAGTAGTAGTAGTAGTAGTAGTAGTAGTGATGGTACTCGTAGATTTCTATTAATAGCAATAGCAGAACTAGTGGTGGCAGTAGTGGTAGTAGTAATCGTATTGTTGTCGAGGTAGTAGTAATAGAAGTAGTAGTAGTAGTAGTAGTAGTAGTAATACTAGTAATAGTACTAGTAGTAGTAGTAGTAGTAGTAGTAGTCGTAGTAGTAGTAGTAGTAGTAGTAGTAGGAGTAGTAGTAGTAGTTGTAATAATAGTAGCAGTAATACAATGGCTAGTGAAAGTAGTACCATGCATTAGTAGGAACAGTCGCAGAAGCAATACACATAGTAGTCGTAGTCGTAGTCGTAGTCGTAGTCGTAGTAGTAATAGTAGTAATAGTAGTAGTAGTAGTAGTAGTAGTAGTAGTAGTAGTAGTAGTAGTAGAGTAGTAGTAGTCGTAGAAAAAAGGCGTAGTCGTAGTAGTCGTAGTAGTCGTAGTAGTCGTAGTAGTCGCAGTAGTAGTAATAGTAGTAGTAGTAGTAGCAGCAGTAGTAGTAGTAGTAGTAGTAGTAATAGTAGTAATGGCAGTAACCGTAATAATAGTAGTCGTCATCGCAATCGTAAGCAATGGTAGTAATAGTAGTGGTCGGCTGTAGAAGGTATCAAACGCCACTCAACATACGAGGATAACAACTTCGATTGTCCCCGGCGACAATGAAGTTCGGCCTCGCCGCACTCCTCTACCCCGACAAATTCTCGCTTGGTCAAGGAATAACAACTCTCAAGGGTTAGAGGCTAGAAGGGGGAGGGGGGTCCTTTCTTATCCGGGGCACGAAGTCACTGATACCGCTACCCCCCGGACATCTCCCAGGGTGCGCTCTGACCAGGACTTCAAGGCGAATCCAGCGGTGGCGACGAGGGCCTCCCAGGAGGCCGAAAAGGGGGGAACAGGAGGGGAAAAGGCAGCGGTATGGATACCTCTTGCTGCTCTGAGGGGTTTCACCGCGCAGCAAGCCGACATCACCACAACACCACCACCACCGCCACCCCGCCGTCCCCGCTGCCCCCGCGGCCCACGGGTGCGCCTCGCGGTCGTCGAAGAGGCCCATCGAGTCCAGCTGTGGGCGCGCCGGCTTTCCGGCACGGCGCAGACCATCACACGGCTACCCGGCGAGGCTGGCAAGGACGCGCCGCCACTCGAGGGGCAAGGGTAGAAGGGAATGGCCCAAAGGGGCGGGGAACATCGACCAGGGATCGGCGACACGTCGCCGGCAGAGTGGCGAGAGGCCCCCCGATAGTGAATCCGCACGTTCCTGGGCGGCGTGGGGCCATCGACCCATCAACGGCGATCCGTGGGCGATTGGGGGTCGGAACGTTTCCCCCTATGCCCATCCCACCATCACGTTGCCCCTTGGTGTTCGGGCCATAACTCGGGTCTCCCGCGGCCGTTCAGCTGCTGGAAAGCACCCCGAGGCAGGACAGCGCCTCAAACCCACGAAAACGGCCACAAACCTTGAACATTCGCGGCGTTCCCCCAATGCCCATCCCCCATCGATGTCCCCGACTACTGCGACGAGCTCGGACCCTTGCTCTCGGCTGTTCACCCGCAGCTCTGCGACTCTGTGCAGCCTCTGAGTGACGACCAGTGGATCTGGGAGGCGTGGCCCGGGGGCGGGTGCCACACGTCTCTTGGCTGCACTCTCGCAGCAACACTCTGCTGGTTCCATTTCGGACCCGCAGAGACTTACCGTCGGGGTTGATTGGAGAGGACACGCGAGAGGACACAAGACCCTTGCGAGGGCCACATTGCGATAGGCATGTAGAAGGCATGGGCAACAGAACACAGGACACGATGGTATCCTTCAGTTGGCAGGGTCGACCTAGTAGTCAACCCCAACTGCAACCTGCAGTTCGGAGCCCTGGAAGCCCGGGGCGCTGCAAGTGCTGAGGGTCACCGCGCTCTACGAGGCACGCCGCTTCTGCACCGCTGCCTCTGACTCAAGAGCAGTAACAAGCCTGCCGACCTACAGAGAGGCCACATCTCTGCTGAGCTTGCTCTTGGAGGTTTGGGACGACATCCGCAACGCGACTCTGAGGTCGGGCGTGCCCCCGTGCAGGGGATTTTGGGAGAAAAACTAAAAACATAATACAGGACAAATGATCGAACATAGTCAAAAATGATCAAAGTTTGTCCCCAGACTATTCTTTTACTGTTTTTGAATATTCCTCCTGTAGAGGGACAGGCCCGACTCAATGCGAATCCCGACTGGGCGCACGCAGTGCCTGCAGCATGAGCGGCGACCAGCGGTCTGCGATCTCCCGCATCACGGAGCCCGAGCACTCGAGAGGGTCACTCGTGAAACGAATGCTGCAGTCGAAAGCCCCAGATGCCCGAGGCTCATCTCGGAATGCATGTGGGGGAATGCTGCACTTGACTTGCGGAACACTCTCTCTCGCTCTCTCTCTCTCTCTCTCTCTATATATATACATGTACACTTCCAAGCCTGCTCGTGGGAGGCCACCGGAGTGAGAGAACAACTGGTGAACTTCTCTGAGCCGTGGTACAACACCATAGCTAGAGCTTCGCACGCAGAACCCCGGCGGCGGGTCAGCTGTGACGGGCCGACTCGGGGTGATCCGAACTGCTGCCGGCATCCTTTGGCCACGCCCTGAAGACGGTGTCAGCAGCTTCCCCGTGCGTGCTGTATTCCAGCCATCTCATTGCATTCGAGCGTGGCGAACCTCCATCGGGGAACTCCAGATCCGCTGACCTCGCCCGCGAGCCTCTGGGACAGCCCAGAGCCAGAGCCTGTCAGCCACCCCGGGGGAGCACCGGGCCGGGGACGTCCCTGCTGGACCGCTGCCCTGCCGGTGCCGCTCGCCGCCTGGCCTCCCGTCGGCGTGCTTCTCATCAGGGCCGAACCTAAACTTAAGTCGGGCGGGCGTGTCCCCCTACAGTGGGATTTTCTACGAAAAAACAATACCCCAAAGATGCTGCAACATGGTCAAACAACTATTCACAAAAATAGTCCCCAGACTATTGTTTGACTATTGTTGGATATTCCTCCTGTAGAGGGACGGGCCCGACTTAAACCTAAACGTTGTTTTTCGTTTTGTCTTCGTTTTGCGTTTCGTCTTGCTCCACCTGTTTCCCTGTACCTCCCCCTGCCAAAACGAAAAACAAAGACATCACACAGCCGAAGTCCAGCAAACCAGCGCTTCAAGGTCCCGCCCTGCTTCTCGTCGACTCTCCCCTCGCCTGTCCGGTCTTGCCCCCATCTCTCGCTGTGTGCCACCTCGGCAAGAGAGGCCCGCGGAGCCCCCCCCCAAAAAAAAAAGCGGAAACACGCAGGTATGTAACTACCGAGAATGCCGCTGCTCCCTGGACCTCTGCGGGGGTGCGTTCTGGCCAGAAGCTCGCGGCGGATCCAGCGGTGGCGACGCGGGCCTCCCTGGGCGGCCCAAAGGAGGGGAAAACGGGCGGAGGGTAGCAGTATGGGTCCCGTTTCATTTTTTGGTACACAAAAGAAACATCCAGAGGGGGCCCTCGGCACCCTGGCTGTTCCGAGCTCTCTCCCGCCACCTCCCATCTACCCTGACCGTCCAGAGTGCTAAAAGATAGCCCTCCAGACCTGTGGACCTATCGGGACTGCTTAAAACCTCGACAGGAATTTGGACGTCAAAGTCCTGGTGTGTTTTTTAGCCCTCCTGGAAGGTCACGGTACCTGAGGCCCGGCCAGGGACGCAATAGAGGGTGGCCGGCGGAGCACTGCAGAGGCCTCCAGAATCGCGCCCACGTAGCCCCAAGAGGCACCCCAAGACGACCCAAGGAGGAGGAGGAGGAGGCGAAGGAGGAGAAGGAGGAGGCGGAGGAGGAGGAGGAGGAGGAGGGACCCCAAGACGACCCAAGGAGTCTCCAAAATGCCTAGAGAACCCTGAGACATTCTGAGAAAGGATCGAAAGTCGTCGTCGTCGTCGTCGTCGTCGTCGTCGTTCAGGGTCGGCGGCACCGGCCGGAAGGCCTTTCCAATACCCAGAGAGCCCCGAGACGTTACGAGAGGGCATCGAAATAATGAGAATAATGGTTCTGCTAACATATTGGCATACTTCTAAGATGTTCCAGGATGGCGTCAAGACGAGCCCCTACTCCACAAGATGCCATCAATACTGCCCCAATTCATCTGCAGGTGGTCTCCAGAGGTACAACCGCCCCCATATAAGCATTGCACAAGGTGGCCCCAGGTCAGCCCGAAGATGCTCCCCAGAGTCCAGAACATGGCGCTGACAGGCTCTCACATAGCCCCAAGATTGCCACGCATGTCCCAAAGGCTGTCCGCAGAGGCTCCAAGATGTCCTTTTGGATATCAAAGGCAACCTCAAGCGTACTCAAGATACTACCACGGTGACTCCATCTGGGAAGGGGCTGGCGGCAGAAGACAGATCCCTTCACCTAATCGTGTCTTGCAGCGGTCCTTCTTCATCACTGATACAGTCGGACTTGATTGGACAGGACATGCGAGAGGACACAAGACCCTTCCAAGGTTCCCAGGGCCGCATTGCCATAGCAAGGTAAGGAGGCATCGGCCGCCAGACACAGGAAACAAAGGTTTCCTTGATTTGGCAAGGTCGACCTACATCTGGGCCGACGGTGCGCGCGCGACTGGCGAGCGCGCTCATGATGAGTGATTGAAGGGGCCCTGGGACACACAGATAAATGCACACAAATTACAGGATTCCCAATATTTTCCTGTATTTTCTGGGTTCCCCCCCACTGCCCATAGTTTCCCATATTTTCGGGGGGAATCAACGATTAATTGTGTCTGTGTGTTTTTTCCCCTCCGGAGTGATATCAGGCAGCCCCAATGCAGACCAGACCTCGGCACTGCGTGCCGCGCAACACTTGCACATTAGACGAACGTTGGCAACATTGTTCGCACCTCCGTCGCACATGCCGAGCATGCTTGTCTCATGTTGCATCCCCCAAGAGACCCTCTCTCCCGTCGCGGCCCTGCTCGCGCCGAATCAGTGTCGAATCCATGTCGGCTCCGTGGGATCCGCGTTGAATCCATGCCGAATCCGCGTCGAACTCACGCCAAATCCGAGCCCGCATCGGGCACCAGAAAAAGGCACAAGTTTGGGGGACAGGCGAGGTTCCCCAAAGATGCAACGTAACATACCATGTCTGCCTGTAAACCTTCCAATGTCGCCTTCAACACGTCCAGAAATGAAACCGCACCGTAACTGGCAGGCCAAGCAGCGGGCACGGGCAGTGCAACACCCGACGGTCAGGCGCTCGGGAAAGAGTGTACCCGTCAGTCGGAATAAATGATAAAACATTGGTTTCAGGTTTCAGGCCCTACCAGATAACAACAACAACAACAAAACACAGCAAACGCACATCGGATCTTGAACTGAGAAGGAGCTGGCAGAAGATTGGGGCCTGAGGAATCCAAAAAACATACTTCCAGCGACCAGCGTGCACGTATGCGCGACGAGGTCGAGAGAGCATGGCAACACACCTGGGGAAACCAACAGATACAGCTACCGCTACTCCCCCGAGCTCTTCCGGGGCGAATCCAGACCAGAATTTCGAGGTGGGCCTGGCCGTGGCGACGAGGGCCTCCAAGGAGGCCCACACAGGGGAAAACTATGCCGGGCCAGCGCCAGCAGCACCATTCCCTCTTCGGAACAACACGGCAGCGAAAGGAGCAGTCGAAGACAGGGGGTCCGTCGAAAACATCGCTTGGCGGGTCATCTGCGTGGTGGGGCGGACGTTGGCGTTGCCCGGCTGCTCCAGCCTCCGCCTGGCAACCGGGCGCAGCGGTGGAACGACACGACGAGCGGGAGGAGGCTCGGCCCAATGGGGCTGGGAGGGGAGCGTGCAAGTGAAAACACCGGGCATAAGCCAGGTGTGCACACGAGGCCGCCCGGAATGGTCAGGCAGAAACATGAGATACGAAAGCGGCGATCCACCCCCGCCGCACCCGCCGCACGCATCCACATCCGCCGCACCCATGACGGCCTCCCATCTCCGGCAACTTCAAGCTCTTCTCCCCCTTGCGATGTGGCAACATTGAGGCCTCCTCAGGCACGTCCGCCCGATAATAATCGAACAATGACAAAATAGAATCGAGAGGAACCCCCTTTGAATCCCGTTCCCGCTATAGAGGCTCCTGGACGAGGTCGGAATAAATGGGGTCGGAGGACCTCGCCGCATCGGCGATACATCGCCGATCTATCGAGGATACATCGTCAATGCACTGGCGACTTCGGCGATGCATTGGCGACGTCGGCGTGCAGAACTGTGGGCCCCACATCGAGCCGCATCGTCGATGCATCGCCGATGCATCGCCGATGCGTCAAGATCCGCCGACCCCATCTGCTCCGATCCCATCCAGGCGGCCTGGAGCTCAACGGGCGGGAGGGTACGGCAAGAGGGGGGGGGGATGGGTGGCAGACTGGAGGGGGATGGGGCGCTTTCGCCCATCCTCCATCCTCCCTGATCATTCGTGCCGTCCCTCTCCTCTGCCTCCCTGACAGAGCCGAGTCGCGAAGGGGGGCAAGGGGGGGGAACTCCAGGGCGCGCACTCTGGGCAAGCGCCACGTGCCCGCGTGCGTGGCACGGCATCCGCCCCAGCCCTCTCAGGCGCGCCCCCCGCGCTCATCCAGCGACCCCCACCCCCTTCGGGCCGGGCCCCCCGTGCTCCTCCCGACGAGCCGCAGAGGTCTGGATGAGATGTCTGCGCAGTCGGCCCCGTTGGCGAGGAGTGCGTACCGCATACAGTCCTGATGCCTGGGCTTTAGCTGAATTGCTATGCGGCAGATGACCGAAGGAAGTCCTTCGACGGGGCAGGACTTGCAAACTGTTTCCTTTCACGATCTGAAACCATGCTTTTGTGGGTGGGCTTGTGAGGCTTAGAGATCAAAATCGTCCTTCGAGGACGGATATTCAAACAGCATCCTTCTGCGTGTGGTTTGCCAGTGAACCCTTGCTGCGGGAGGGGATGTGGAACCGAATCCCTCTCTGAGGGAGTGTTCACACTGAATCCCGATGTGTGGGCATTACATGTGCACCCCTTCTGCGAGAGACGACTGACACAACGGCCCCTAATTTGAGACAACGTGTATACATATGACCTCTGTCGGCTTCAGAAACGCACCTCCTCTGTGTTAGGCGATTTAGAGCTGGCGTGCTTCTGTAAGAAAGGGTTCACACACATAGAAACACTTCGTGGGCTGTACAAGCAGAACAATTGCAAACCGAGCCCACTTTGTGAAGGAAACGTTCACACATAATTCTAACGTGTGGGCTAGAAACATATACATCCAACAGAGGAAATTGGGGCACCGATTGCCTCTGCCAGAACGGTTTGCAATACTTACAATCCTCCAGCATTGGCAGCGCAACTACATTCATGCGTGGGGAGGTTTGCAAGGTGACCATGATGCAAACAAACCTGGTGTCACAAAAAGAAAGCACACTGTCCCGTTCTTATCGGGCGTTGGCAGAACAGGGTTTAGTGGGACCTGGTTTAGTGATGTGTACTGGGGGGCGCCCCCCCCGCCACGTTCCACTAACAGGAACTGCCGCCACCCGAAAAAATACCAGCTCCGGCTGCTTTAGTGATTCTGGCCAATTCAGGGGCTCCAGGACCCTACCACTAACTGGGTCCCCTTGCCTGGGGTCCTGTCCGTACCAATTCTTAGCCTGGCCATCATTTTGGACGCCCGAAATGGGTACGGAAAAAATGGGTACAATGCCCAACAACAAAAGTTGTCCCAAACCAATAGCGGCCGTTGTTGGGCAGGCGGCCTTCTGTCTCGAATGGACACAGGCCGCGGCGGCGCGGACAGCGAGACCTGTCCAATATGAACAGGAACTGCTGTTGGGCATTGTGACCATTCTTTCCGCACTCATTTCGGGCGTCCAGATAACTGGGTCCCCTTACCTGGGGTCCTGTCCGTACCCGTTCTTAGTCTGGCCATCATCAGGCTCCCCTGTCGAGAGCATTCCTCTGTCCGCCTGCGCCGCGCCCGCCTCCCCCGATTCCTTCTCGGGCGCGCCGCGCGGCCCGCGGGGGTGCCGCGGGGACGGGGTCTCTGAAGGGGCCCTGGGACACACAAATCAATACACAAAAATAGAAGGATTCCCCTAGATGTTCCTATGTTTTCTCGGTTTTCGTCTTCCCCCCCACTTCCCGTTCCTATATTTTCTGGGAAATCGGCGATTGATTGTGTCTGTGTGTTTTTCCCTCCTGAGTTCCGGCGCCAACGAGAAAGTTTCCGCGGGTGTCATAAAAAGCTTCCGTGTACTCTCTCCTGTCGTCTGGGAATCCTCCAGCCACCCCCCATCCTCCCCCCTCCCTTGCCCTCCACCCTCCGATTCGGTTGCCTGCAGGGACTCGGGCGCCTGTCGCAGTCCTGTGAGTGTGAGGCCCCCGGAGCTCTCGACCACTTGCCATTTCGCCCTGGATCGGATGTCGACTGTCCCCCGAGGACTGGGAACAGACTGCGACCGAAAGCTGCGACGAACCTCTGTCTGGTTGTTTCCATCCCCCTCCCGGATCCTCGGTCTACGAGCCAGCCGGGAGACAGGAAGCAGCAGGGACCTAATCTTTTTCCTCCTCCTCCTCCTCATCTTCCTCCTCCTCCTCCCCTCCCCTACACTTACCCAGTAGTGCAGTACTCCCTTCTCTCCCCTGGTACTGCCCAGCGCTGGGGCCGCATCTCCCGCGTGATGCTGTTGTCCGCGCACGAAACTTCGAACATTGGTATGGTGTGTGGCTGTTTTCGGTCGGGCGACGGTGGGTCCTTCAACATAGGTGTTCCTGCTGTATCGTTGGCTGTGCCCCGGCGCGGGTTACGGTTCTGGATCCCGGTCGCTCCTCGTCGTTGCCGTACCAATCCTTTTCCCTCCTCCACCTTCCAGTAGACGTCCTGCTCCTCGTGCTCCTACTTTTGCTCTTTCTCATTATTTCAAGTAGTACTGCTCTTTCTCCTGCTCCTCTTGCTCATGCGCTTTTACCTCCTCCTCCTCCCCCTCCTCCTCCTCCTCTTTTTCCTCCTCCTCCTCCTCGATTCATTCTTCCCGTCGCATCCCCAGGCCAGCCGCAAGGGCGGGCAGGGCGTTTCGCCTGAGACTTCCTCACCACTTTTGACCCTGAAGCTCAAACATTGGCATCAGTTTCACAGATGGGGGGCGGGTCGATTCCAAAATGTGGCTCTTGTATTCGCGCCGCGTCATAAAGTTGCAAGAGCTTCACAGATTGAGGGCGGGTCGTTTTTAAAATGTAGGTTCGTCTCGGCGACGCGCACACTTTTCGTCTAAAAAAGAATATTGCAAGACCTTCACATATTGAAGGCGGGTCGTTTTCAAAACGTGGCTCGCGCCTTAAAGCCGCGTGCACTCGTCCTAAACATTTGCAGGAGTTTCACGGATTCGCATGGTCAACGTGCCAGGAATGGTGTTCTGGACGGACTCGGGATTGTGAGGGCGCAACAGTTACGTTGATCTCAGGAATGATGCGCTGGCACGATTCCAGATCGTCGGGATGCAACAATCATGTTGACCCGTGGCGTTGGAGTCCTAGGAATGGTGTCTTGGAACGCTTCAGGGTCTTCAAACACATGTTTCCCAACGAGGCACCTCCCCCAGCGCAAGTGTACACCTGTCGAGGTCTACACAGAGGGGGCTTGGAGGGAGGTTTCTATTTTTGCTCCAACATCGTTGATGAGTCTTGGGTTTGCACTGGTCCTCCTCCTCCTCCTCCTCCTCCCGCTGCCAAAATGAAAAAGCATTCCTGTTTAATTACGCGTTACACGATGGGGACTAGCGTTGAGGATCGAGGTCCTGCAAGACGCTCCAGGCCGACGGACGGGAAAGGCCTCGGCGAGGTGGGAAGGGACGGTCACAACAATAATAATAACAACAACAACGACGACAACAACAACAACGACAACAACAGCAACACAATAACGACGACGACGACGACAACGACGACGACAGCGAAAACGACAACAACAACGGCAACGACAACGCCAACGCCAACGCCAACGCCAACGCCAACGCCAACGACGACGACGACGACAACGACAACGACAACGACAGCGACAGCGACAACGACAGCGACAACGACAGCGACGACGACGACGACAACGACAACGACAACGACAACGACGACGACGACGACGACAACGACAACGACATCGACGACGACGACGACAACGACAACGACAACGACAACCACAATCACGACCAAACCCCTGTCGGGCGGGTCGGGCGGGTGGGACATTCAAGCGGTATGCCTGAGTATGGCGAGAACGCGATTACTAAGTAAATTGTAACGGCGTCCTTGGCGCTGCGTGTTCCCTGAGCGTCGAAAGCGCGATTTCTAAATAAATTACATGGAAGTCACAGGCGAGAGCGCAATTCCTGAATAAAATGTGAAGGGTTCTGTGGCGGGAGCAGGGGTCTTGATTGAATTGCGAAGAAGTCTTGATTCAATTGCGAGAAAGTCTCAAGCGGGAGGGCCGTTCCTGAGTAAATTGTGAGGAAGTCTCAGATGGGAGCGGGGGTCCTGATGAAATTGCGAGGAAGTCACAGGCAGGAGCACCGATCCTGAGCAAATTGTCAGGAAGTCTCAGGAGCGGGGGTCCTGAGCAAATTTGGAGGACGTCTCGGGCGGGAGCCGTTGTTGTTGTAATCCGGGGGGCCAGGGGCACAGTTTGAAACAAGACTTTCCCTGTCAAACAACAGGGTGCGAGCGTCGAAAGGCACACTTCGAGTGAGAAAAAAACAGCATGCACCGGTGAGGGGGATCACGAATCATCATTCTTCAGCAATGAGAACTCAACAGCAACAGCAACGTGAGAACACACCAAAAACTCGGAGGCCCGCACCAAAAAAAAACCGGAGCGCGCCAAGGAGCGGCGCCCGAGGCGCCGTCACGGGGGCCCCCCGGCGCCGACCCGACGAGAAGACCACGCGCGGACCTCGTGGACGTTTTCTGCTCTTGTCCGGCAGTCTCGGCACTGGGCGGAGGGGTGGGGGAGGGTGGGGGACTGGCTCCGGACCTCTGCTTAGTCCTCATCATCGTCCCTCCTCCTCCATCCTCCCCCCGCCACACCCTCCTCTCTCCTCCCGCCTGGTCACCCCTCCGCCTCCCCTCCGGCCTCGTGCACGTTGTCTGTTCTCCGGCAGGTTCGACGTCGGGCGGAGGGGTGGGGGAGGGCGGGGGTCTGGCTCTGGACTTATGCTGTTCGCATCGTACTTAAAGACCACATCCCAGGAATAGTTTCGGCCACCCAGGAAAGGATCGAAACGGCGTCGAACGAGCGTCGCCTCCCAGGGCCCGACACGCGAAAACCCTCCAGTTTCGGTACCTACTTGGTGCTCGAAACTCTTGTTGGTGATCAAGGCTAACGAAGGTTGGAACATCATAACTCTGGACCTCTAATTCATGAGGCTGTTTGCAAGCAGTGCGTCCGACATGGAGGAGGCCCCACCTGCTTGAAGCTGGCGCCACAAAACACAGCCAAGATCTACTCTCTAGTTGTGAGGGGGGGGGAAGCGGGGGCGGGAGGGGGCTGCGAGGGCCCGCGCCGATCGGGAAAGAAACCATGAACAGAGAACGATCACCTAAGAGTTTTTGTTGCTCGTGTCGTCGCTTGGCTCTCCATCCACTCGATCCTCCTCCACCCTGCTCTCGTCGTCCTCTCGGGCCGGGGGAAGGGGGGGGACAGCAAAGGGGGGGGGTTGAGACTCAGCTCACGTATAGCTGATCTTCCCAGCGCTTCCCCAGCGCTGGAGGCGCCCATGTATCGAGGAATGGGCCCGGCGGCGGGGCCGAAACCAGCTGCATGCAGCAGATTTCGTAACCCCACCTTTGAAGGGGCCGGGGAACACACAAGTAAATAGATTCTCTGTGTCCCTCAATAGTTTTGGGGCCCAGGACTACAGGTACCCCCCCGACAACAAGTACCCTTCCCCCGGACTACAGGTACCCCCCCCCCGGACTACAGGTCCCCCCCCCCCGGACTACAAATACCCCCCCCCGGACTACAGGTACCCCCCTAGGTACCCCCGGGAGCTACAAGCCCCCCCGCGTTCGCTACGTAGTCTCTGGAAGCCAAAGCGGCCCGCCAAGATGCGTCCGCACATGTTCACTCAGGCGTGCTAAGAAATTCGCCATCGTTGGCTGTGACCTAAGTACATAGCGCAATCATGGAATATCTGGAAAGTTGTCATTATCATGATACAGAGTGTCTGTGCGTGCGCGCGTGTGCGTGCGTGTGTGCTTGCGTGTGCGTGTGTGCGGTTCCGTGCGGTTGCGTGCGCGCGTGCGCGCGTGCGTGTGAGTCTGCGCGTGCATGCGCGCGTGCGCGCGGGCGTGTCGTGTGCAACGATGCGCGTGAGGTCCCGCGCGCGTAAGTACTAAACACCCGCGTGCGTGGAACCACGCGTGCTTTGAGGCATGACCATATGCCCCCCCCCCGGACTACAAGTACCCCCATGCGCGCCCCCCCTGGACTACAGGTACCCCCCCCCCGGACTACAAGTACCCCCCCCCCGGACTACAGGTACCTTCCCCCGGACTACAAGTACCCCCCCCCCGGACTATAGGTATACCTCCCCCCCAGACTACAGGTACCCCCAGAACTATTGAGGGGCACAGAGTACAAGTAACAGGATTCCACGAATTTTCCTATATTTTCTAGGTTTTCCCCACTTCCCATATGTTCCAATATTTTCGTGGGAATCGATGATTCGTTGTGTCTGTGTGTTTTCGTTCCCTCCCGACCTCCTTCCCTATATCCCCCCCTGTTGTTCGGCCCAGTCCTCCCACGGGGGGTGTTCAGGCCCAGGCCCGCCCTCTGCTGCTGCCGGTGGTGACGCGCAGCAGCGAGGGGTAGGACCAGTTGTCGTGCGCCTCTCGGCGGGCGCCGTCGTCAGGGGGGGGGGGGCGAGCCGGGAGGGGACGGCGACGGGCGGAGCGAGGGAGGGGCCTCTCGGTGGAGGGACAAGACCCCCTCTTGGTGATCGAGCCACTCAGGTCATGGTAACGATAGGATCTGGGATTTAGAAGAACGGCCCCGGATTTAGAAAATCCGCTCTTTGAAATTAGTAGACCGGCTTGTCCGTTTACGAAATGATGTTCTGTCCTGCTTTGATAAGGCGGCGCAATTCAACAAATCCATTTCTCGCTGTAGTAATTCATTGCTGTTTCAATGATTTGTGTTAAGAACGCGCGCTCATTCATCACCATGACCTATGTTGGCCGGCGGCAGTGTAAGCGACCAAGGCCCCAAACCTGGCGGGCGCAGGCCTGGAAAAGGACGGCCGCGGCGCCCTCGCGAGAACCGAGATCGGACAATTCACCAATCGACGTGTCAGGGCGGGGGGGGCTATCCCTGACCTTCCAGAGTGCTAACAAAAAACAGCTCTCCAGACCTACAGACCTATCGGGACTGCTCAAAAAACCTCGCCTGGAATTGGGACGTCATGGCCCTGGTGCTATCTTTGTGGCCCTCCTGGAAGGTCAGGGTACCTTAGGCCTGGCCAGGGACGCAACAGAGGGTGGCCGGCGGAACCCTGCAGAGGCCTCCTGAATCGCGCCCACGTAGCCTCAAGAGGGACCCCAAGATGACCCAAGGAGGAGGAGGACGAGGAAGAGGAGGAGGAGGCACAGGAGGAGGAGGAGGACGTCAAGGCCCTGGCGTTCTCCTTGCAGCCCTCCCCGGAAGCTCAGGGACCGGCCCCTGCCTCACCGTCCCCCTCCCCCCCCCCGGGGCCCTCCCTCCGGGGAGCTTCCGGGGAGGGCTGCAAAGAGAACGCCAGGACCTTGACGTCGTCCTCCTCCTCCTGTTCCTCCTCCTCCTGTTCCTCCTCCTCCGCCTCCGCCTCCTCCTCCTCCTCCTCTTCCTCCTCCTCCTCCTCCTCTCCTCCTCCTCCTCCTCCTCCTCCTCCTCCTCCTCCTCCCCCCCTCCCGGGCCCTCCCTCCAGGCGCCTCTCTTCTGCGCAGGCGACGCTCACCTCGCAGCGTCCGATGATGAGATGACGTCGTGAGCGGCGCCTGGCTCGGGCGCGCGCGGCCGCCACAGCGCGGCGGCTGCGACGGGGTTCCCGCGCCCGCGATGACGGCCCGCCGCGGAGCACCTCGCGGTCCTGGTCGGCGCGCGGGGCCACGCCGCATAGCGCGGGGGGACGGCCGGGGCGCCGCGGCCGCCGGCGTGCGGCTGGTCGGTCAATCAGAAAAGCCGAAGTAAGTCTGCGTGAGAAGCCGCGACCGCCGCCGCGGCGTCCGCCCGCCCCGCGCGAACCCAGCCCGCGGCGATCTGCTCGTCGCCTGCGTCGAAGGAGGCGGCGCCGACCAGCGCGGCGAGGGTGGCCGCGCCTGCCGCGCAAGAGCGACGCGCGGCGCGCGCGGTGGCACAGGTCGTTGCGCGCCCAATCCATCTGCGAAGCGGCGGCGGCCGTCGCCCGAGCATCGGCGCCCATCTAAGGGCGCCGGACAGCGGGGCTCGGCCGCCCTTGCGGCGGCGGAGCAGCGCGAGGGCCGCGATTAAGAATCAGTGGGGTCACGCTCGGACGCTGCCTGAAGACGCCTAGCAGGAGCCGCGCTGCGCCGGCGATGACCACGCCGTCGTCGTCGCAGGCTGCGCCTCGGCGGAAGTGCGCCGCGCGCTAGAACTGGGCACGTCAGCAGCAGCTTGAGGGCGGCGAGCAGTTCGGGCCGCGCGGGGGGGCCGTCGCACTGACTGGACTCGCCATGCGGTTGCAGGTGCTGCCGGCTCTGGGCCCGCGCCCGACTCTCCTGCCGCCGGTGCGGGAGGCGTTCGACGGTCGGCGGGCGCGCCGCCGCGGGGGCCCCGCTGGGCCTCGGGCGTCTCTCGACTCCGCCCAGACGTTGTCCCGCCGCCCCACCCCCCCGCCCGGCCCTCGCGGTCATCCATGTAGGCGGGAATTCCATACCTTGCAGCACGCGCGCGCGGGCTCGGGCCGCTGCTGGGGCCAGCTCGCCTGGGCCGTCGTGAAACCAGGCAGGCTCGTGACGGGCCCGCGCGGCGTCTCGACTACGAGTCGCTCCTGGCGCCAGCGCTTGCGCGGCTGCTCTGCGCGCGGGCAGCGCAGCTCCGCGGGCGTCGCCGCGCGGCAGCGCCGAGCCGCATTGCGCGGCCCGGCAGCCGCGGAGACGAGGCGCCCGAGCTTGTTTGCGGGGCGCCCCGCTCCACCCGGGCTTGCCTCGGCCGCACCTGGAAGCCTCGCTACTGCGAGGGCCGCGGCGCTGCTCCGACTCCGCGCGCCTGTCTTCGCAGACGGCGCCACCGAGCAGACGCGCTTTGCCGCGGCAGCTGCGCGCGGCGGCGCCACGGCGCCCACCAGTGGACAGGGGCCAACCTCCAGCGGCGGAAAGGAGGGGGCGGCTGTTATACGCCCAGGGCAGCGGGGGCCACTCCGCAGGGCCGCGCGCCCGCACGGCGGCTGCTGCGCGCGGGGGGGGCGGCGCGGCCGCCCGTTTGCTGCGGGCGGTTGCAGGCTGGGGCGCCGGTGCAACGTCGGCGCTTGCCCGCCCGTCGGCTGGCGCGGCCGCGGGCGCGCAGGAGGTCGGCTCGGGGCCTTCGCGCGACGGGGCGGCGGCGAGCGCGGGCGCCGCTGGCTGGGCGGCTGGCGGGGGGGCGCCCACCCCGCCACTGCATGCCAGCGGGCGCGACTTGGCCGAAAGAGCCTTGTACGAAAGTGCTGCAGCTTGCCGACTGACTGGCGCTGCCACTGCCGTGACCATGCAATCGCGAACAATTTTGCCGATCTCCGCTGGGCGGCGGCGTGCGAAGATGCCGCTGCTGCCCCTCCGCGTGAGGATGGGGCGCTCTGCAGAGTGCAGGCCGATGGAATTTGTCTCCCTGGGTGAAAGGCTCGCCGCACTGTGGGCGCGTCGCACGGTGCCGCCCGCTCGTCAGGCTCGGCCGCGCCGGGCGTCGCTGCCGCGGCGAAGCGCCGCGGGAAGGGGGCGGCGAACCCCGCCGTCTCTGGGGTGCCCAGCTGCCAGAGATCCTCGGAGTAGCTGCGGGCCCAGCGCGAGGGCGGCTGGGCGGCGACGCGCAGGGGGGCAATCCACAGGATGCCGCCCTGCAACTAAGCGCGTCGCTGTGGCCTCTGTGGCTGTTGTTTGGTATCGCGCCTGCGGGCTAGCGCGAGGCGTCGGACGCTGACCTGGCCGGCTTGGGGCGGCGGCGACAGCCCAGCAGCGCTATTGAGAAATCGCAGAAATCCCAGCCGCGGGCATTGAGGAGGCGGCACTCCAATCCAGTAGGTCCATCCATCGCGTACCTTGCGAGGAGTTCGACCGTCGGTGCGTTCCTCGGAAACCCAAAAGGGGAACTTCTTTATGTTCTCCAAGTGTATCTGGATCGTGCAGGCCGACTAGCGCCGCGAGACGCGCTCCTGATGTCGCGGCCCGAGGTCAGGCCCGAACGGGCTCGACGGCGTCCAGGACCCAGGCCCACCGCGGCAGGACCTGCTGCAGCACGCGGTTGCGCGTGTCTGCTTGATGCGGCCTCAGCGGGGGCCCCGCTTTCCACTGCTGCCCGGACGGCTTCGCTTCCGTCGCGGTGCGGGCGCTGCCTGTCGGGGGCCGCCGCAGCGTCTGGCGCGCAACGGCGGCGGCTCCTCGCGCTCTTGGGGGCTGGCCGCCCCAGGCTTCTCGACCAGGTGGAATGCTCCGGCTGCCCATCCACTGGGCGGCGCGGCGCTCGCTCCGGGCGCTCCGACTGTAGTGCAGGGCGGCCCCTGGGCCGCAATGGGGCGGGCGGGGCCCGCAGCCAGCGGGCCGCTTGGTCGCCTGCGGCTGCGGCGGGGTGGGCCCTCCTCCGTGCCAGGCGCCTGCCCATGTGGGCGCTGGCGCGCGGCGGCCCGCCGGGGCCGCGCGCCGATGCGTCGCCCCCGCTGCCCCGGCATCGCCCGCTGCGCCCGCAGCCTCGCCTGTCAGGTGGCGCCCCAACGCTGCGCCAGGAAGGCCCGATGCCGCCCCCCCCCCCGGCGCCAGCGGGGTGAACACCGGAACGAAGATGCCTCGCGGTCGGGCGCGCGAGCGCGGCCCGCGCCTTCCGCGACACACAAGGAAAAGGCCATGGAAGCGCGAATTGGCCGCGCTCGCTCGCCCATGCGCTCGATCCGCGGGAAGGGGCCAGGGGTCACCGCGCTCTCGTGCGAGGCGCCGCGCGCGCGCGGTGCCCCCAGCCCAACTGGCAGCCCCTTGTTTGTTATGCCCTTGCCCAGACCGGCCCAGGGCCGAGGCCGAGGCCGAAGCGAACGTCTGACCTCGAACGTTCAAACCTCCAACGGTTACACGGATGGAGTACAGTCGAGGCGTTGACCCAAGGAACCCTAAATAAGGAACGAGGCCCCTTTTTCCCAAAAGTTAAACTTCGACTTCCTATGGAAAACCTTAGGGGGGCCTAAGGCAAATTGCACAACAATCAAGGAACACCGAGCCCCTCCCCAACGAAAAGGGTTCCTTCTTCAGGGCCCCGATTGTACAGGCCGTTTTCAGAAAGGGGGCGTCGCCTCGGAGGCGAAAACGATCGTCTTCAAAATCAAGAAAAAAACACGCGCGAAGGACAGGCCATTGTCAATACAGGGATCGCCGCGACGCCGCGCACAAGCATTTCACACACGCTCAGCAGTCATGCTGCCAGAAGGCGAGTGACTTTGACAGTAGGAAGTTCCGCTTCTGCGTCTCACGCATTCGCCTAGAAAGCTTGCAGCGGCTGCACGGACGGAGGGCGGCTGGTGTTGAAAATGAGGCTCTCGCCGCAGCTACGCGCACATTCGTCGCAGACGGTTGCAACAGTTGCACGGATGGAGGGCGAATCGTTTCAAGATTGGGGCCTCCACGTGAGGCTTCCTCTGGATTCGTGGCCTACAATACAAACTCGCCACGGATGGGGGGCGGCTCCTTGTTTCAATGGGGCCCTCGCGTGGAACGTCCTATGCTGTTATGACGAGTGTGTGGACATTGCGCACTGCTTACACGGATGGCAGGCATGCTTCTGTACAGAGAGGACAACCGCTGGGCACTACAGTCGGGATTGATTGGAGAGGACACGCGAGAGGACACAAGACCCTTCCGAGGGCCGCATTGCCATAGTAATGTAAGAAGACGTGGGTCGCGAGGCTCAGGACACAAGGATGCCCTTGATTTGGCAGGGTCGACGTGCTAATCCGGGCCAACTGCACTTTGAGCTGCATGATGGTTTATCCTATGACTCGCCATATCGCTTCATGCCGTGGCCGCCAGCGTGCCTGGAGGCACGAGGGGGGAAGCCCCTAGTTGAGCCCTCACTCCTGAGCAATTGAACAGGGCTGAACCGAAACGGTGTTCTTCGTTTCGTTTTGTGTTCGTTTTCAATCGCTTTGTCTTCAATCCGCCTCTACCGCAAAACGAAGTCGAAACGAAACCGGCCCACGAAATCTCGGGTCGGGCGAAAGGGGGGGATAGCAAAGGAGGGGTTTGAGAATCAGCTTACGTAGCTGATTTTCCCGGCGCCTCCCCGCGCTGGAGGCGGCTATGTGTCGAGGAATGGGCCCCTCGGCGAGGCCGAAACCAGCTGCATGCAGCAAATTTCGTACCCCCGCCTTTCCGAATCCCCCCTTTCGCCCGACCCGAAAATCGCCCAAACACCACTGTTGGGCCGAGAGCCGAGTTGCCGGACGTCCTGGGGCGTGCCGCGTGTTCCCGCAGACTCCTTGGAGCTGCCGCCGTGGCTTCTCCAGAGGCCGTGGGATCTCAATGAAGGGGCCCCAGGACACACAAATAAATACACACACATAAGAATATGCTCCATATTTTCCCATATGTTCTCGGTTGTTGTCTTCCCCCCCCACTTCCCGTAGTTTCCTATATTTTCTGGGGAATCGACTATTATTTTTTTCCCCTCCTGACTCAAGACGGGCGAATGGCCCCAACGACGGTCTAAGAGAACCAGCTGACTGTCCAAACGGATCAAGGTCGGCCTAAGATGGTCTCAACACTGCCCATGAGGCCGCCACGAGTTTCGAGAAGGCCCCACGAAAACCCCCAGGATAGCAACCAGCATACAACATCGTGTATGTTTCACTGTTTTTTGAACGATGGCAACATTCTCGCATGTTCGGGCGTCCGACGCTTCAAGGCATCCTAATCGGCACCAAAAATAGCCGAAGAAAGTCCCACGACGGCCCTCTGGGGCCCCGGCCAAGGCGACCAAAGAGGGCCCCTAGAGGGGCAGCACGAACTAACACTTTGAGCCCTCCGCCCCAAGATTACTCCAGAGACTGCCAGCAGGCCCCAAAGAGGCCCCCAAGAAAACCCAGCACGCTCCCAAGAGGCCCTCAAGAAACCCCAGGAGGCCCCCAAGAGGCCCCAGAGAAACACCCCAGTAGGCTCCCAAGAAGCCCAACAAATGCCCCAACAGGCCCGAGAAACCCTTGAAATGCCTCCACTGGGCTTCAGACCAGCCTCCCAGAAGATCCAACCAGGCATCCAAGAGACCTCTGACCTGCAGCCCAGGCAGGGTGACGGCATGGGCCGAGGGCCGCTATATGGCTCGAGGCAAGGAAGGTGCATCCTCTACAAACCAAAGTCTCGCCCGAATTGCTGTCCTTCAGTGCATGCGTCTGCCCAAGGTGGCGCTTCCAGCAGTGGGAAAGAATACTTGTATTAGGTCGGGCATGTCCTCCTACAGACGCATTCTTGACGGAGAACAAAACATCGTCAAGAATGAGCCTGGCGAAGGACCCAACCATATGCAACTTCGAATGCCGTCGTTGTTAGTATCGCCTTCAGTGAATCTCCTCATGGGGCCACGAAGCGCGTGAAGAGTGCGCCGACATGGGGCGGGGCCGCAATGCGGGCGCTGCTGCTGGGGCCTGATGTAGAATCTCTTTTATGGGGCCACGAAGCGTGTGAGGGGTGTGCCAAAATGGGCCCAAATCGGGCGGCGCGGCCATGCGGACTGCGCCACTGTGACCTGAGGTGGAGCTCCCTATGGGGCCACGAAACGTTTGGGGGGTGTGTCAAGAGGGAGGGGCGGCGCCGCCATGCGCACTGCGCCACTGGGACCTGAGGTGGAGCTCCCTATGGGGCCACGAAACGTGTGAGGTGTGTGTGTGTGTGTGCCAAAAATGGGGCGGCGCCGCCATGCGAACTGCGCCTACGGGACTTTAGGTGGAGCTCCCTATGGGGCAACGAAACGTGTGAGGGGTGTGCCAAAATGGGGCGCCGCCGCCATGCGAACTGCGCACATGGGGCCTTAGGTGGAGCTCCATATGAGGCCACGGAACGTGGGAGGGTGTATACCGACATGGGGCGGCGCCGCCATGCGAACTGCGCCACTGGGACCTTAGGTGGAGCTCCCTGTGGGGCCACGTAACGTGTGAGGGGTGTACCACAATGTCACTGGGACCCGAGGTGGAGCTCCCTACGGAGCCACGAAACGTTTGGGGGGTGTATGCTGAAATGGGGCGGCGCCACTGGAATCTTAGGTGGAGCTCCCCATGGGGCCACGAAACGTTTGGGGGGTGTGTCAAGAGGGAGGGGCGGCGCCGCCATGCGCACTGCGCCACTGGGACGTTCAATGGAGCCCACTGCGGGGCCACGAAACGTCACGAAACGTGTGAGGGGTGTGCCAAGAAGGAGGGGAGGAGGAGAGGGAGGAGAGGAAAGGAGAGGAGAGGAACGCGGGGACCGTCTCCTCAAAACGAGGACCCAACACCACAGGACGTTTGGAAAATACTTTAAAATCCGCCGGCCCCCTTGTTGGACCAGCAGGCTGTTGGGCCGAGGTTTGCTGCTCCCTGCGCCAGTTGCGTTTTCCAGTTTCCAATGTGATGGATGGCTCTACTTTCTGCTTCATACGGTTAATTGTTCATGAACGCGCGAGGGGGGGGGGCCAGAAAGCGTCAATTTATCGCGCCCGTCCAGGAATCGATCGCAGACTTCCCGGGGGGCCGTGGGTCATGTAAAAATGCGTGAGACTCGCGACCCGGATGCCATCAACCTTCTTAAAGTACGCGGTATTCGCCTCCCCGGGGCCAGAGGCCTCTGCAGATCATGCAATAGTTGCGTCCCCGAGGCCATCAGGCATCCTGAATGACGCAGCACCCGCATACCCGAAGCCAGAGACCCGTGTAAACTAGAGCATGCTCGCGCCCCCGAGACCAAAGACCAAGTAAAGCAAGGAATGTTCGCGTCCCCGATGCCATACACCCTTGTGACTTACACGATGCTCGCGCATCCGAAATCACAAATCTTAGTACATTACGCCACACTCGCGTCCCCGAGGCTATACAACCTTGTAAGTTACGCCATGCTCGCGAGGCTATAAGCCATTTTACATTACCAAATGCTCGCGTCCCCGAAGCCATACAGCCTCATAAAATACACAAGACTTGCGTCCTCGAGGCCATCTGCCCTCGTAAATTACACCATATTCGCGTCCCCGAGGCCATAAACCGTTGCAAGTTACGCAACATTCGCGCGCCCGAACACATAAAACATAAACCTTCAAACATTATATAATATTCGCGTCCCCGGGGCCATACAGTTTCGTAAATTGCACCGCAGTCTCGCCTTCGAGGCTTCGATCCCTCGTGCATTACCGCAGATTCTCGCCTTCGAGGCCATGATCTGTAGTACATCACAAGGTATTCGCGCCGTCGAGGCCAAGACCGCCCCACGACGGCCCAAGACGCATCCAGGAGAGCCCCAAGACGGCCCCGGAGGGCACCAGGACAGCTCAGGAGGCACCCAAGACGGCCCAAGAACTCCTGAAGATGGCACCAAGAGAGATCCAAAGCTGGACCACGAATCACAGATTTGAGCTCTCAGCCCCGCTAGGGCGAAAGAGGGCTCCATGTGGCTGCCACGCCGCCCCAACAGGCTTCCAAGAGGCATCCCAAGAGGGCAGCCAAAGCCACGCGATGTTGCCCAACGTAGCCTCAAGCAGCTCCGAATCGCTGCTCCAATACATGGCACGAAAAGGAACTCGAGAGTAACAATACGGACTTCAACAATGCGTTCTGAGCCTGAGTCTGCCGATTACCAATCGCCCTCGCAGGAGGTTCCAACATTGTTTCGCAACGGCGCAAAGGAATTCCAGCATAGCTCTGACATAGCCCATTCTGATAGAGTGGGAGCCGGCGGCAGGAGGCGAAGCCCTTACGGATAGTCAAATATAGTCAACAAATCGTCCCTAGACTGTTATTCTACAATGTTTGACTATTCCCCTTGTAGAGGGACAGGCCCGACTTGAGACTTGCACTGACCTGAATTAGGGGGAAGGGACTTGGGACGAGAGGGTATATGCTTTAGAATTGTGGGTGCATCTTGGGCTTGCTCTGGTCCTTCCTCCTGCTCCTCATCCGTCCCACTCCTCCTTCTCCTGGACAAACGCGCGCGCGTCGATGCGCGACACTTGGCACGCAGTCGGCTTGCATGTAAGGAAGGAGGGGGGGGAGAATGGGCGAAGATAGCGAGTGGGAGAGGAAGGGTGAGAGGGGGAACGAGGGATCACCAGGAAGAGGAGAACGAGGAGAACGGGGGGAAAGGGAGGATGAAAAGGATGGCCGAGAAAGGGAAAAAGGGTGGGGACAGAGAGTAACAGGGGGGTGCAGCGAGGATAAAGGTTGGGGGACAGCAAGGAGAGGCAGAGGACGGGGGAAGAGGAGGGGGAGGAAAACGAATAACGGAGAACGAGGAGGAAGGGAGGAGGGGGGTGGGCAGGGGAGGCTGGTCGAACGACGACAAAGGGGGGGGAGAGGGGCGGGCGAAGGCGACGGCGGGGCGGCACGGCAAAAACCGGCGGGGGCGGGGGCGGCGCGCGCGCGCGCGCCAGCGGAGGGCCCTGCTTCCGCCGCCACTCCAGCTTCTGCCGCGAGGTCTGCGCCGGCGGGTGGGGTCGGCGGCGCGGCGGCGGGGCGAAACCACAGCCGAAGAGGAGGCTCGCAACTTCTGAGCATGTCGGCATGCAGGACCAGATCCACTGGCGGATCCAACGCATGATCCACTCGCTTGCAGCAGGCTCAGGCGAAGCAGCATGCTCTCCCCTCGCATGTCAGCGCGCTTGCGAACGTAATCGCAGCCGCGCGCACACGCACACACACACACGCACACACACACACACACACACACACGCACACACACACACACACACACACTTTTTTGGTCGGCGGGACGAGAGCGAACCTCTTCCGCTAAAAGCTACGCGGGCTACGCGCAGCTTCAATTAGGGAGACAGGGCACAGGCAGGCGGGGCCTCAGTCGGCCGGAGTGGGCGGGGCCCGGGGTGCAAGCGGTGCCGAAGAGCTTGCACAGGAAAAGAGACGCCGTGGACAGGGACCGGAGGCGATGACCCGGGGGGTGAGCGATGTGGACCTGCCGTCAACGGCACGTCGTGAACACCAGCCTTAAGCGCTGCAGAGGAGGACATGCCACTTGACCAGGTCGACGTCCAGGAGGGAGAGAAGCATCATGAGGGCGATGAGCAACGTTGTGTCACCGGATGAGGCGGAGAAGGCCCAGGAGGAAGAAGAGCACCACGAAGGCGATGTGCAACGTTGTGCCACCGGGTGATGCGGAAGCGGCCCGGGGTGGTAGTCCAATCCGAGACCAGGAAGCAGCCAGCTAGAGGTGGGGCCAGAGACGAGGGCCGTTCTTGTCCGACAAGATGTCGGTGGAGAGCAGGGAGGAAATCTGTCCTGCACGGTCAGCGCGTGACGACGGGCATGCAGCCACACACGATGCGCTGACGTCCGCATGGCCGAGGGCCGGGCCTGAGCCGCGCAGCGCCATGGCGAGCGGGGCCGCCGAGGCGGCAAGGTGCAGCGCCTGGCACCGGGCCGATGCCGCGCAGTGCCGGGCGCTGCCGTCATGGGGGGGGGGGGGGGAAGCGAGCGGGGGGGGGGGAAGCGAACGCGGGGAGAGGAGCCGGCGTCCCGCGCCAGCCGTCGTCGCGTCAGCCCGCACCGTGGGTGCTCACGTGGGGGACTGGGCCCCGATGGGTACAGACAGGACGCGCGGCCCCAGAACATGTAGAAAACAGGGTGCGCCACGCCAGCCGTCGTCGCGTCAGTCCGCACCGTAGGTGCTCACAGGGGGGGCGGCCCCCGAGGGGTACAGGTGGGACACGCGGTCCCAGATCATGCAAAGACAAGAGACAGGGGAAGGAAGGAACGGAAAAGACGGAGACCAGGTGGACCGGCAAGCAGTCGTAGCCCGCGGGGCGTGCACGCCACAAGGACGGCGGGGTACAGGGGGGGGGAAAGGGGGACACACGGCCCCATGTCAGGTGAAATGGGGGGCGGGGGAAGGGGGCGCAGGTGGTGGGGGTGTGGAGACGGTTGCGTCGTGCTGCCATAGGGCGAGGGGGTCAGGTCGCCGGCTGGTCAGCGCCGCGGGCGTTTTAGGCGTCGTTGTACCCGGAGCTGCGCGCCTGGTCCTCTTCGCGCCCGTCACCCTTGGCGACCTCTCTTTTCCTCTGTGCATCCTGGTACAGCTTCTTTTCCCGATCCCAGCCCACGTGGACGCCTGTGATGTGGGACCGCGCCTCCACGCGATGGTTGCCCGTATTCATGTCGTCCGGGAATGTGTCAGTTATCCAATGCTGCCAACGGCTCGGGTCGAAAGAGACTTAATCTTTGGATTTGCCTTTGCCCTGCTCCTTGCACATATTCCTGCACCACGAATGCCAGGCTGCGTTGAAGTGGTATCCCCATTCCGCCCGCAGCCTCCTCAGATGCGCGACTGCTGTCTCGCGCGGGCGGCGCTGCCAGCCAACGCGGAAGATTGCCCGCGCCAGGCTGGCGTCGGGGTAGCGGCGATCATCCTTGTGGTAAGAGCTCCCTGGTTCTGTCCCAGTCCCTGGCGCCGTGCTTGCGCCACGGTGCCCCCGCTGCGCCGCCCTGCGCGGGTCCAGTCGCCAGCCTCTCTGGACTCGCGCCTCGCCGCCGTCGCGCACGACTCCCAGGCGACTGGCCCCCGCGCCCTGCTGCGCAAGCGCGCGAGCTGGCGTGCAGGGAGGGGGTTGAATGCAGGCCGCGCGTCTCCCGGGCCTTTGGATCGGTTCCGCGCGCGCAACTCTCGGTCGTCGGCAGCGGCCTCCAGACGCACGATCGGATCCGTGAGTCCGTCGGCGGCCCTCTAGTCGGTGCTGCTAGAGTCGCGCGCAGGACTGCTGCGTCGTTCGTTATGAGGACTCGTCTCGGCTTGGTGCTCTTCGACTGTGTCGGAGTCTGAGGATGAAGAGACCGCGTGGACAGTGCTTAGGGCCTCTGCGAGGCGCAACTTCTTCTCTTCTTCCTGGTCCTCATTGGCCCAGTCGGGGTCCTCCTCCGTAGGGGGGGCATAAGGGGCGCAGGTTCGACGGTGGGATCCTGCGCGTCTGCCTGAGGCGGGTAAGGTTTGAGCTCGGGTTCCGTCTGCGCCCCCCCTGGGGACGTCGCTTCGTCACCGCCGATGTCGGCGTCGAGCCTTGGACTGTCGCGGGTTGCTGGTGCCTGCGCCCGTGCACCTTGCTGCGGGCATTGTCCAAGAAGGCTGCTGCCCGGAGCGATGCGTCTCCGCGGAGCGATGCGTCTCCGCGGAGGACGTTCACGCGTGGCGTCCTGTTACCGGCGCCCCATGCTTGCAGCCGCTCGCTGCCGATCTGGACGAACTGAGTCCACCCGTCCTGTTCGCGGGCCAAGACACCCAGGACGGGTCCAAGTGCCGCTCCGCCCAGGGCCAGGGGCTGCGTCGACAGGGGCTCGGTGCAGTCCGCAGTGCTGAGCCACCTGGCGCGGGGGAAAGTGTCACTCGTGATGGCCGCGTAGTCGCCGCACTGGATGCACGGGCTGTCCGCTGCGAGCGGGCACAGAGCCCGTGATGGGCGTGTCTGGGACTCGCCCTTGCTGCCGCTCGCGGCTGCCGGGTTCCGCGCACTTCTCGGGGGTGTTCAGGTGCCGCGCCGACGGCGGGTGGCGCCCCGACGGACTTGGTAGCTGTAGGTATTGTAGCAGGCTGGGCCAGGGCCGGCTCGTCGCCACGCGGAGTGGGCGGCAGTGAATGGGAGGGGAGTGAAACGCCGCCGTGAGTGGGCGGGCATGGTGTCGGGCAGGGTGTCAGGCGCCTCGCCTTGGCGGGTCTTGGTGACTCAGCTTGGCTGGAGGTGTGGTCGGGGCGCGCGCCCGCTCGGTGGGCGGTGTGCTGCTAGGCCTCGCTGCTGGACGCGCGCCCAGTGGGTCGCTGGGCGGAAGCCGTGGCGCCGGGGCCCTAGGCAAGGCGTTGCTGCCTAACCTTGGGCGGTGGCGGCAGTGCGGTGTGGAGGCGATCGTAGTAGATGCGCTCTGCCTCGCCCCAGGCGGCCGCGCGTCGCAGCACTTCCTCCTGGTTGGGGCGCCTTGCGTCTTCTGACGATGAGGCGGGGATGTTCGGTAGTGCGGAGAAAGGTCTGGTTCCTGCATTCGGGTATACGTCAGGGCTGTATCTGTCGAGTACCTGGTTCACTGCTGACGGGGCCATGTCCCATTGGTGGGTCAGACACTCCTTGCAGCACCAGCCCGCGTGCCGGCGCTTTGCCAGGAACATCTCCCTCATCAGTTGTATGGATGGGAGCCCGTGGACCAGGTTGAAGCCGGCGCGGGGTCCTTCTGGGTCAGTGGCGTGCCCGTGCATGCCAAGAAAAAGCCTGCCCTGGGCCCCATCTGTATCCCTCTGTGCCAGGGGGCGGCCATCGCATCGCCAGATGCCGCCGCTCTCCTGGTGGAAATGAGAGATCAGGCGTTCGTCGTCCGTGTTACTGGCTGGGAGGGTAGTTCCCACATTGAGGGGGTTCAGGGCGCCTGCCAGTGGGGCCAGTGGCTGGCCCAGGGGCATTAGGGCCGTGGGTGTTGACGTCGGACACAGCCCCGGAAGGGCGCGCGTTGTTCGCACAGGCATGTCGTCGGGGCGGTCGTTGATCCAGTCAGTCCACGTCGTCTGGAATGGGCTGCCGCTCAGCCATTGCTTTCGTAGTCCAGCAGCATATGCAAAGCCAGGTCAGGTCCTTCCCTTGGTAGTACTCCGTCAGCCTGTTGACCGTAATGATTTGGCAAATCCGCTTGCTGACGTAGGTGCCTTTGTTGTGCTTGAAGGGGCCGCGCAAGCACCCTTGACATTAGAAATCAGCCTTTTTTGCTCCCTCCTCTACCTGGTGTCTCGGCCGTCTAACCATGGGGGCCGTAGCGTCACTCCAGGGCGTGGGTATGAGTATCCTCCACCTATCCAGGTGACGCCGCTGGCCTGCTTAGTTGGGTCGTCGGCGAGGCCGATGCCGGATCCGAGCACGTCGATGTAGAGCGCACGTACGGCGCACCCATGGAGCGCCAGGGCTGGCAGGTCGGCGGTGGACGCGGTGCCCTCGATGACCGCGACGATGGCCTGGAGTGAGAATTTCGTGGCCGCGAGGCCCTCCCAGGTCGCGGGGCAGTTCGCCCTCCTGGCCAGGGGGGGTGGGGGACCGTGACTAAGCGGGACACCGCGGTGATCAGGAGCTCCAGTGCCGAGTGAAGCTGCTTGAAGTGCTTCCACTGTAGTCCGAGCAGCGAGCCTAGCTGGTCACGAGCGGTCTTGTCGCGCGGGCGTATCGGCTCGACAAGCCGAGGATGGCCTCGATCACGTCCCCAATGCCTTCGGCGTCCCCGCACGGGCACAAACAAGCGCGTGGTTCGCGCTGCATGGGCAGGGACAGGGCGAGGAGCATCCTGGCTTGGATGCCACCCAGGGTCGCGCCAGTGCTGTCCAGGAGGCTGTTGAGAACTGTGGCCGGACTTTCCTTCGGGCCCATGTTACAGAAGGCTTGAAACACGGATGTTGTGGGTGGCTCCTTGTGCTTTTGGTACTTGCAGGTAGATGGCTGCCAACATT